TTTTTTTCCTCGCCCTGACGTGTGCCAGTGAGTAGCTGGCTGTGTGGTGTGCTCTGCTCGTCTCCTGCTGCTCTGCTCTGCGCTGCTCTGTCTATCTGATCTGTCTGATCTTGGTCTGTCTGTCACTATTTCCTCCACTTTGCTGGTTCTCGTCTCCCTCCCCCTGGTTCGGTCCTGGCCTGTCCTGTCCAGTCCTGTCCAGTCCACCTGGCAGTACTCTGCCATCCCGTCGTCTCGTCTCTTTCGGTTTGGTCTTTTCCTCTCCAAACCACCTCCCTCCCTCACCTTCTTTCACTCTCCCCTCAAAACAAGGCCTCGAGGGTGTGTGCAGCACAGCACAGCACCGCACACAATCCATCCTGCAGGCTCGGCATCTCCTTACCGAGTTCTCACATTGTGTTCACCTCCCCCTCTCCGCATCAATCCGGCGGGCAGCCACTTTCCCCGAGTCCATACTGGTCCCTGAGGCAAGCTTTTGGCGGCAGCAGCAGTACGTGTCCATTCGAACAGGTCTCCTCCGGCTGAGTCCCCAGCCATTCAAGCTCTACATCGAGTCTTGCCTGGCTCGCCTCGTCATCGAATCCCTCAGAAACCCTCAGAGGCGTACATCCAGCTTTCGTGGCTTCCGCTCCACCTTCGCAGGCCTTGATTGAACCGCCGAGGCCGTGACGGGTTTTCTTGCGCTCCAACTGACCTCTTGCAGCTGGATCAGCTATCCCGGACACACCTTCTCCCTCTCCCGCCGTCGACCAGCTACCCCTTTCGACCCCTTCACCGCCAACAGTCCCGACCATGGCGGCGCTCCCTCCAGCTCCATTGAATGTTGACCGCTATGTGGTCATTCATGTGGCCACCACCTGCGACGAACACGGCGTCTACGTAACCAAGGATTCCGCTGAGGTTATCGAGATTGGGTGGATCTTGGTGGACGCGAAGACGCTTGAGGAGGTGGGCTCTTTCGCTCTGACCCCGAATTGCTCCTCCTACTCCTCAGGGATGTGGTGACCTAAATGGGCCCTAAGCTGACGGGCATATTCTCCTCGAACAGCTGCATCACGAAAGCGTGTTGGTGAAGCCTATCAATACGCCAATCACCCCCCTATGCAGTAAGTCTCACGCGTCTGCATCGCTCGCATTTCTCTTTTCGAGCACTTCTATCCCGTCTCCCCTCTGTACGCCATTTGCCTTGGTCGACAAAGCTAACCACTCTTCCTGTCCAGCGAGCCTGACCACCTTAACATGGGAGCACGTTAGGAACGCCGGAACGTTCAGGGACGCTATTAACCGTTTCGATACCTTCGCCTCCGAGCATCTCAACTCGCAGAACCTCGACTTCGTCTTCGTGACCCTGGATGCTTGGGACCTCCGGGTCCAGCTCCCCCGAGAAGCCCGCGACAAAGCCGTTGTGCTCCCTCCATATCTCCAGCACTCTCGGACGTTCGATCTGCGAACCGAATACCAGAGATGGCAGCAGCATCATCCCGAATGTTTGGCCTTTGGCCCGTCGTCGCTGGCTAATATCTGTGCGGCTCTCGAGGTCGAGGCGGTGCAGTCGAGTGCTCCCATCAAGCATAACCTGCCCTTCCATCTCCAGGCTCTCGCCCCTGCTTCGCCCCGCAGAGCTATGGACGAAGCTATCACCCTCGCTCGTGTTCTCCGCGGTCTTGTCCGGAAGTCCCAGCCCCCCAATGAGCACCCTGACGTGCTCACTCGCCCGATGGATGCCCGTGCAGACGTCAGGGCCTTCCTCTCAGAACGGAGCAAGGTGCTCCACATGTCGGGCTTGCCCCACGACACAACCCAATCTGAGCTCGAGAGCTGGTTCACCCAGTTCGGTGGCCGCCCCATCGCCTTTTGGACTCTCCGCACGCCTGAGCAGCACAAGCCCACGGGCACTGGTTTCGCAGTCTTCTCATCTCATGAGGAAGTAAGTCGATACCCTCGCATCGTTGGTTTGCCCGTTCCTTCACCTTCATTTAAATCCAAGTGGACTATCTTGTGGACTTGATATGGTGTCCGATGTGCAGCTTTTTTCCGTACGAAGTGCAGTCAAACCTACAAGCACAGATCACGACAGGCGAAGTGCAACTGTCAAGGCTAACCGTGCTCGCGTTTATAGGCGGCTGAGAGCTTGTGTATGAATGGCCGAGCTCTCAATGAGAAGGCCATCGAGGTTTCCCCATCGTCGAGCCGAGTGCTGGACCGGGCCCAGGAGATATTAACCCCGTTCCCGCCGAGCAAGAACCGACCTCGACCTGGAGACTGGACCTGCCCTAGTTGTGGATTTTCGAACTTCCAACGTCGCACGGCATGCTTCCGCTGCTCGTACCCAGCGGTCAGTGCCGGCCCGACAGGTGATATGGGCTACGGTGGCTACGGTGGAGGTGGCGGTGGTGGTTACGGGCCACCAGCGATGATGGGCCCACCTCACCACGGCGGCGGCGGTCATCACCATGGACACATGGGCCACGGTGGCGGTGGCCGTATGGGAGGCAGCGGTGTTGTCCCTTTCCGTGCCGGAGACTGGAAGTGTGGCAACGAGGTCTGCGGGTACCATAACTTTGCCAAGAACGTATGCTGCCTACGCTGCGGTGCCAGCCGCGCAGGCGCCGCCATTGTTGCCGACTCGGGCTACCCTACTCCGATGGATACTCCATCCAGCTACATGAGCCAAGCGTCCATGGGCGGCAACCCCGGGCCCGGGCCCGGGCCCTTCGGATCCGGAGGTGGATTCAACTCTGGTGGTGGTTACGGCCAGCAGTTTGGCGGCCCGCCCAGCACCTACGCGTTGCCATCCGGCATCGGCGGCGGCGCAGCACCTTACCCTTCGCTTAACACCCACTTTGGTCCCGGCCCCGGTGCGCACTCTGCCGGGCCCTTTGACAGCCGCGCTGCCGAAGCTGCCTTCCAGTCAGCACAGAACGGCCCTGCTTCTGCCGGGCCCTCCAACAACTTCTACTCGGCTGGAGAGAGCGACCCCTTCGCCTTCCTGTCGAGCGGGATTGGCGGCCTTTCTGTCAGCGGCGGGGATCCCCGCCAGAACGGCGGCGGAGCTCCTAGCAAGTCGCCTGCCTAAAGTTTGTACATGACGGCTCCGCACTGGGCCTCAGCGTCATCTTTCTAGATCAACGCGACTGTCGACTTTCACTTGTGACTATATATGCGACTACTTTGAGGACATAGAGTAACCGGAAAAGCTCGGCAATCTTCTCAACATACCAAACCTTTGGGCGAGGGCGGCTGGCTTTTGGAAGACCACACATTTCACGGAACCGGCGACATCTGGGGGGGGGGTGTAGGGGACAGGGTGGAAAAAAAGCAATATGTTGCAACGGAAAGACAAAAGTAGCGCGCCATGGCGGGTTGTACATTTTTGCATCCTCGGGGGGGAGTTTTTCCCCAGAACGCATGTTATTCTGCTGGGAGGGGTGGGACCGGGACGTCAATGTGTCATACCCCTAACTACATTCTGCTACTTGTCGTTTCTTCTTCTTCTTTCTTGTTTATTACCGCACTGTCTTTAAGTCGCAACGGTCGAAATGAGTCAAAGGAATGGAATGGTGTGTGGTGGACGATTGGTAAAGGAATTTGGAGGGCGGCGGCGGCGGCTGGGGGGGGGGGGGGGGCGGTTTTAGGCTCGGTGTCGGTGTCAAGTCACTGGTTGGTTCCGCATCAGCGTGGAGTGTAAAGGGGGGATGCTTATTACTGCCGGCTACGAGAGAGAAGAAAAGTCCTCACTCTTCTCCGGAACTGGAGAACAAAAGAGACTGTTGTCAACAACACTGTTTTTTACTGTCGATATCTTCTGTCCTTGTCTTGGATTCTGCTTCAACTTCTCTCCCCTTGCTCTGTCTATTTTCTCATCACCCTTCCCCCAAACTTCTGCGCTCGCGTGGTGTGTATGCGTGTACATGCGTATTGCGAGACAGCCTCAACGTGGTGTGGTTGGGCCTAATTATTGTTTGGCGGAGTCGTTTGGAAGGGCACGGTGGTACCTTTGCCACAGTACGGAGCAGGGGAGTCAGTCGGTGGGCAGGAGGTTCCTCTTGTCTCAAGCATTTGCGGGTTTGGATCGGGGGATTGGGGCCATCCGTCCTCAGCATTGTTGTCATAGGCTGCGGAGATAGACCTAGCTGGTGGCATCTGCCGGCGGAGAGGAGCGGCCTAACTGGATGAATGTAAGTAGGGGAAACGTGGTGGGTGTGGGGAGTTGGCTACATGCTGTGGGATAGATGGGCAGGCGGGCGGCAGTTGTGTTTTCCCCTTGGAGTCTCCTTAATTATTGAACCGCTTACGATACGAGGAGGATTCGAGACGCCAATAATAACATTTTCCCTTCCCTCAGACATGAGGTCTCCAATCACTCGCAGCTTTTCTTTGGGCCTTTGCTATATGCCATGGACAGGAGACTCGTCAGAAGCCGAAGAAGGGCTTGGCCTGGAGCATGTGACCACAACAAGTTGGGCCAGAGATGGAAGCAAGAAAGATGTGCTTCACGAGATCAGCCAGTCATTTCAACTGATTCGACAGGCGAGGTAGAGCCATACTCGCACAGCACCAAGCCGAGGCCCCGGCAATGGAATCGAGAAGGTTGTTGAAGGGGAATCTCCGGTACGGTATACTGCATGTGCATGCTATGTGCAAGCAAAACAAGAGCATGCTGCGGAAATGCGAAGCTGTGTCGAAGCACAACAACCGGCGCGATGCGGATCGAGCAGGTACAAAGGACGACGCTGGCGCAGCCTTATCTGCTGATTCCCATGTCTGCTCGATCAGTCGAATACTTAAACATGTCACCGCCACGTTGAAGTCCTTTTCACAAGTGTGGACTCTATTTTCTCGGCCACTGAGGGTGGGAGAAAAAGTATGAATTCATTCTAGCCCAAATGCTTTCACGGGACATCGTCTACACTCAACACTCTAGGAAGTGACCATTGGAGGAGGTCTCCTACCTTTTCTTGTCGAGATCCTCAAATAGTCGTCGCCACCAGTCAAAACATCTAGGCCTTCTTGGACGGGATCACCTCGCCAGCACCCGAAGCTGCCTCTGCTGACTTCTCAACGTGCTGGCGCTTGGTCTCGCGGTTTGCATCGTTCGCCTCTGGAGGTCGTTTTCGGGAATCCTTGTTGTCCTTGCTTGTGGAACCAGATCCCTTCTCAGCAGCCTTGCGAGCTTCTCGATCCTTTCGCTCGTTTTCGCGCCGTAGCGCCTTGCTCTCGAACTCGTGCCAGTCACCGTCTACGTGTTGGAGCCTGTCGAATTGGTCAGCACAAGTGTGTCATGGAGGACAACACATGTCGAAGGGGATATCTACTTACTCCACTGCTTGCCGCGGGGCCGGTGACTCGGTGGTAAAGTAAGGATGCTCCAACACCTGGGCGGCCGTCGGCCGTTTGAGCGGGTCATATTGCAGCATCTCGCCCATGAGTTTGAACGCGGCGGGCGGCAGCTTGTCCTCGTACTGCTCTGCGAATACGTTTGGTTTCCTCACGCCGGGTCTCAAGAGCTCGAACCAAGGCATATCCGTTAGACCTGGCCAGCTCGACTTGTGCGGCGTGCCGAGGACAGAGTAGATCTTGTCCAGCTGACTGATCTCGCCACCATCACCAGGGAAGACGGCACGCCGTGTGAAGATCTCGATCATGACGCAAGCTGCGCTCCAAATGTCTACGGCAGGACTGTATTGAGTCTCACCGAGTAGCAACTCTGGAGAGCGGTACCATATGGTGATGACTCGGTTTGTGTAGTCAAGTTGGTGCCGCTTAGCGTAAAAGCGGGCGAGACCGAAGTCGGCCAACTTGAGAATACCATCGCTGCTAACCAAGATGTTGGCAGCTTTGATATCTCGGTGCAGAACGCCGCGCTGGTGCAAGTAGTCGAGGCCCTCGAACAGTTGCTTCGACAAATGTTTCCTGTGCGCCGCTTCGAGCTTGAAGGTGGGGTGGTTGAGAATACCTGTCAAGTCATGCGACATGTACTCAAACACCATGTAACACTCGTTTTTCTCGACCATGACCTCGAGCAGTGCAACAATGTTGATGTGCTTGAGAGACTGCAGAAGCTTGATCTCTCGAACAGCTGTCACCGGGAAGCCATCCCTCTCACCTTCCATGCGAATCCTCTTCAGAGCAACGAGCTTCTTGGTGTAGACGTGGAGCGCCTTGAACACCTTCCCGTACGTGCCGGCACCAATGACAGATTCATTGCCGGGCTTCCGGAAGTAGACAGAATCGGAAGCTGCCAGGTGATCTGGAAGGGCGGGCTTCTCCTTCAAGCGCTTCATCTTCCTCTTCACCATACGTACTCGAGGTTCCCGAGGTTCTCGAGGCTTCTGCTGCTCCTGGCGCCTCTGTTGCTCTTTGGCCGCCCGGGGCTCTGTTGGCACATTTCTTGGCAGATCTCGACCGTCTGTAACGTGCTTATGTGGGGCGTGCTCTCGATGGTCTCGGCTGCCCTTGACATCTCGGCTGTCACGATGGTCGCGATGGTCGCGGTTGTCTCGGTTATCCCGATGATCTCGTGGCTCTCGAGCATCGCGACTGTCCCGATCTCGAGGGTCGTGACGATTAGACTCCTTTGGTGGATCCTTCTTCGTTGGCGCGTTGAATTTCGAGGATATCTCGAACTTCGGGGCTGTCACGGGCGCCTTTGGGGTTGATTTGAGCGCGAAACTGATCTTCTTCTCTGCCGCAGGGCCTGTTGGAGGCGGCCGGGTTGCCGGAGCTGGCATTGGTTCTTCGTCATTCCCCTCGTCCATGGCCGTGTCCTCCACCTGGAACTCCTTGGGCGGCCTGAAGGGATTTTCGTTCTCGTGCGTTCCCACCTCGCCATGGGATGAGCCCTGGTCACCTATACTTAAGCCTGCTTGCGGGCTTGCACGTCCTGAGCCCGCATCTTCAGGCTGACTCGAAGCAGCTCTGGAGCCGCTGCCACTGGATCCCCAGTGCCCGCTCTTGAACCCGCCACGGCTGGCACCTCGACCAGCCCCAGGGCCCGCGCTATTTCCTCGATATCCGCCGCTGGATGACCCCCTATACCCTCCGCGATACGGGCTTTGAGAAAATTGGTGGCTTGGTCCGGTAGGGGTGCCTACGGGGGGTGAGTTGGCCTGGCTGCCTTGGAAATGTGCCGCAGGTGCAGTCGGTGCGTAGCCGTTCGGTGGGAACTGCGGCGGATATTGGCTGTACCAAGCGTTAGCGGTCCGATGTCGAAGACTGGAGTGCTCCTGACCTACCTCTGCGGTGAATACTGTTGCTGTCCACCCCAATTGCCCCTGCCGCCGCTATAAGGCGACTGGGCCGGGGGCGTGCCATGGAAAGATGAACTGGGCGTAGCATGGCCGGAAGAATGTGGTCCCTGGCTATAATGGCCCCTTGCGGGATACTGACCACTGTATGAGCCACGGAAATTTCCTCGCGCCGACATGTTGACTTCAATACTGTTCGAGCCGGATGCTGGCTCGGAAGGTAGTCCCCTAGGCGGCAAGCGATCAAGCCTCCTCTGCCGCTTGGACGAGAAAGATGCTCGTCGAGCTCTTGGAGAAGGAGACCGTGTTGGCGGTCTCGTATTGTTGTGCCTCTCTTTATCGTACACCGGCTCGAGTCCGTCCCGGGACAAGTTGTCCGGTTTTGATCGCCGGCGTTGGCCGGGCGGCGGCGGCGGGCCCTCGCGGCGAGGGGAAGAGGATGGGAGACGGCGACCAGAAAATGACGAGGCGCTGTGGTCGCGATGTGGAGATGCTCTCTGGCCGAGGGGACAGAGGTTGGGATTGTCCGGAAAATCTCGACCGCGGGGTGGAGGAGGCGACCGACCACGGCTAATTGGAGGTGGCGCCTTTGGCGCAGCAGAAGTCTTCTTAAACAGACGTCGCTCCCGACGCGTCGAGGAGCGTTCTCGTCTGGAGGAGGACGTCTCCGGCCGGGTTGGGTAGGGAGAGGCCCTGGGTGCGTCTAGTTCCCCTTCAAACCTTCGCGGGCCGTGCTCGTGACGAGAGCGTCTCGGATAGGGTGCACTGGGAAGAGGACTGCGACTCCTCCGTCGCTTAGCAGGTAGAGGTGACCGTGGTCGTGATGGCTGTCGGACAGACTCGTCGGTGTGAGGATCCCTGGGCTGGTGAGGGGGCGGCTGGCGTGAATCGGTGGGATGTGCAGCCTCGCGACCCCAAGAGGTGCCTCGAGGGCCTTGGTGCCTGTGTCGAGGGAACAAATCACCAGGGCGATGGGCCCCGTCTCTGCTAGAGTCTCTGGATCTGTGACGATACGGATGAGCGGAATTGGGGGGCCTGGGAGGGCTGCGGGACCGCTCGCGAGGTCTGGTGTTGCGGTGGCTTCGGTCACGGCGTGTTGGAGGCGGGCTGCGTATAATATCTCGGCCTCTGCGATGGGCGGCTGCTCTCTCACCCGGGGCTGCTGCAGGGTGTGGGGCAGCGGTATGTAGGGGAGACAAGGGTCGTCGAGGGGGGTTGGCGGAATCCCTCATGCCTCGTTCAGACGGTCCTCTCACACTTGGGTCGTCGCCGAGGTTGCGGCTGTCGTCTGGCATTGCATCATCTTGTCGGGGTTGGTGGCGTGTCGAGAGTGCAAAGTCAGGTCGGAAGGCGGAGGAGCCAAAGGCAGGAATCCGCCTGCGCTTTGCGAACTTCATTTTGGCTTTTCGGTGGCCAAGAGGACCCAACCCCAGGCGGTAGCTGAGCCGGGGCGAACCAGGATCTGTGGGCGTGGGGACCACTCCGATGTGCCTAGGTAGCCGCTAGACGCGCTGGACCACAGCGCGCTGTCAGTGGATTTTTGGGCCCTGTCTTTTCAAATCCCCAAGATGCGGCGGTAGTTGGCCGTTTTGCGACCGCCGCCTGCTGCGGGTGTTGTGGATGTCGACGTCAACGCTCGAGAGTGGGATATTGTGACAGATGCCAAAATACAAGACGGACCGACCGAATGAAGAAACCTGGCCGATTGCAGGTTCGGGTGCATTGGGAGGCCGAAGGCGTGCGTTGGTAGACCGGATGGTGCCTGGATCAAGGACCGCCAGCCAGCGAGCGTCACGAGGCTGACGCTTGGAAAGAGACCGGGTCGACAAAGAATTAGTTGCACGCTTCTTGGTCGGTCGCGTGGCTGGCGACCTCGCGTCGACTTCTTCTTGCAGCTGCTGTGCAAACGCCAGCTAGCCAGCCGTACGATTCCGCGTCCACGTTCTGGTGGAGGGGATGGAGGACACTAGTCGTCGCGTCAATGCGACAGGTTGAGTCGCACGGTGGGAGAGGCTTCCCAGGTGTCTATGCAGCAGGGCCGAGACTGCAGGCGTCGCGAAACAGAGCGAGCTGTAGATGAGGGTCGAGGCGGAGGGAGAGGTCGGTGGCACTCCTTTGCTCCAGTCAAACCCGCGTCAAGAGCCGTGCCGTGCCAGATCTGAGGGCGAACCCAGGCTGGCGCGCAGGTGTGTCGTCCTCGGGGTCAGCGACAATCGCATCAACCCGTCGCCGGGCGGTCGGTTCAGATTCAGACTCAGACTTCCACCACCCGTCCGAAAGTCAAGGCGTAAGCTCGTCAAGCCGGGCAAGGCCCTTGTTCTGGCTGTGTCAAAGTCCTCCGCTCGCTGTGGCCAGTTCCTCTGGCAACAATGCGTGCCGTTCTGCGCAATCGACTGCCGCGAAAGCGACTTGTTGTTTCTTTGCCAGCGCACCAGCCTATCCCGCCCCTCGCTCGATTCAAGCAACACCACCTGGGGCAGATTGGGGTGAAAACCCAGAGTCCTTGCAGCATCGCCCAGAGAGCTTGCTGGAGTCAGGACTCGGCGCCCCCAAGGCTGCCCCTGCCCCACCTTGTCTGCTTGAGCCTCCTCCCTCTATCGAGGCCCAGCATTTCAGTATCAGGCAGTCAAGTATCTACGTAGGGCTATAGTGGTTTACGACAGTTCAAGATGTCAGCTCCCATCGTGACAGACAGCCAAGCAAGCAACTCGGAGCCACGGCAGGCATTTAATGCTCGTCGCGCAGATAGAATGCGATCATGTCCGAGCCAAGAAACGGCCCTTCATCAAAACAACGTCGTCTGGAGAACATCAACTGCTGCTAAACAGCCCTTCCCACTGTCACAATGACTCCCTTCAGATCAAGGCCGTATGGCGAGCCCTGGGCGGCTGGCCCCAAGTGAATTGGCCCACTCCCTTGGATGTGTGGAGGCGCTTTAGCCGGAAGTTCAACATGGTCGTTTCCTAGTTGGGGTTCTGATCCTCGGCACGTCTTGACAACGGTTTGCAGCACAGTGATGATGCATGAAGGCGTTCGGGTGGTCACCATCTTCTATGAAACCTCATCGCCGGGGCACGTGGAAGCGTGTCGAAGGATAGCGGAACGACAAGGGTTCTGCAGGGCGATATGCCGGTGTACACCACCGATGACCGAGCCCGTCAAGCCGGTCTTGGCAGTTGGGCGGCGGGATGGTCAAGGTCTCCTGCCAGATTGTGTTGAACATGAGGGCGACTGTTGTGCAGAGGCAGCGGCCTGTCCGGCTTTGCTTGGAAGCAAAATAACAGCACGGACACGGAGACGCGGTCTTGCTGAAGGCTTTCGGGAGGTTCATGTGCTCCTTAGACAGCCCACTGTGGTTTGGTCCCGCGCTCTCCGCGAAGAGCAGGGCAAGTACTGATGTTCCTCCTCTTCAACGCACTGTCCCATCCAACGTTGGGGTGTCCTGATCAGTTGACCCCGCGTTGGCGACTCTCTTGTTGCGATCCATCGTTGCTGCGCGGCTTTGGGCTTCGCCGGGTGGATTACCTAGCGCAAGCTTCGTGTTGTGTCCCACCCAAACTTCCCGTCCTTTACAGCGCACTCGGTGCTGACACTGACAGTATTGCGATTGCAAATTATCGCTTTCTGTTCCTTCCACAAGGGCCGTGAATGTGCAACAATGATGAGATGGTGTTGGGCGTTGGGGGCGGGGGTAGCAATGGCTAATGAGGCTTTGTTTGTAGGTTGCAGGAGGGAAACCCGCTGTCCGCAACCAGAGTCGGTTCCTGAGGCACTAAGTCGTGTGCAGTTCCGCTCATGACCCTAACCCTTACCCCGCGTTTCGATTGGATCATTCAGGGGTGGGGTTCCAAGCATTCATTCACTTGCTGCTGCTTTAGAGCTCTATTACCACCTATCTATCTACCTCGAGTAGCCCAACGTAGTGCACGTCTCTTACTCTTTGGCTTGTTGGGGTATCATCTACTGTATCTATTTTCAAACTTCTTCCAACCAACAGAAGCTCAGCATAAGGTGTTGCAAGATGATCACATTTGGGTTCTCTATGGTCCGCCTTGTTCGTCTCACGGAATATGTTTACTTATGGAAGCTGATACAATCTTATATCAGCTGACTCTATTTTCTTTGAAACTTTCTTTTCCTCCCAAACGGCCATGAATTCCCCAAGTCTAGATCTCCTCTAATAGACCTACTAAAGCACCTCATCAAGCTCCATCGACGGTGACTCGCCAAAGCCATTGTTGGGAGTGCCGTAGTCTGTCATGGTCTGCCAAATGGCTTGCTCGTCTCTCTGTGACACCACAATGGCCCCCTGCCTCAGCTGTCTTGCACACTTGTTAGCAAAACGCTTAAAGCAGAAGTTTCCCCTGCAATTGTGTAGACACATGATAGCGTCATTATCGGAGTCTTTTATCGGAGTCTTCTATCCAGGCATCCTCCCTGGGTACCGAATTATGGGTGCCGATGACCTCAACCTTTTCATGTACTAAATTTCAGTTTTCTTTTGTTTAAGGAGGAGTGTTTATGGCAAAGTATTTAAGGAGAATAGCATAAATAAGGAAAGTCCCATAAGGTATTTTACAAAGAATAAAGACATTATTAAAATTATAAATAGCATTATAATTAATTAACTTTAAGCTAAAAGTAATTAAGATAATTTTAAAATTATTAATAGCTTTATAATAAATAAAATTTAAGGAATAATTATTAATATATAATATTTAGCTTTAATAATATTTAATTATAAATAATTATTACTCTTTAAATATTACCTTAAAAGAATTATTACCTTTAATTATTAACTTAAAATATCACCTTTAATTACCAACTTAAAATATTACCTTTAATTACCAACTTAAGATATTACCTTTAATCACCAACTTAAGATATTACCTTTAATTACCAACTTAAAATATCTTAATAAAAATATTAAAATGGAAAAATTTCCATATATATTAATATTAAATTTTAAATAAGCTTATCCATAAGTCTTAAATGCTTAAGATAATTTCTTAATATATATTAGCTATGTTTACTTAAAAAGACCTGCTATTACAGAAAATAATGAATTCCTATGCTTAATAAGTTATTTAAATAATTAAAGACATTATTTCTTAAATATAAAGAACCTTTAAATATATATTTAAGTTAAGCATTAAAAACTAACACCTTACTTTAATTATAACTTAATCCCAATCTTACTTTATTTAGCAAATAAAAACATATAAAATACTTTTATTAAATTTTAAGTTAAAAGTCTTTATAATTACTTTTATAAGAAATTATTAATATAAAGAATTAATAATAAGTTAACTTAATAAAACCTTCCTTAATTAAGCAATTATTATTATAATTTACATCGCTAATATATATTTAAAATAATTAATTTTATTTATATAAAGCATAAATTATTAAGTTTTATATTCCTTATTATTTTAAATCTTAAGCTATTATTTAAGCTTTTAAATAAGCCTTAAGGCTTAATTATATAAGCATATATTAATGAAATTAACTTAAATTTAAGATAATAACCATATATTTATAGCCATAACCTTAAATCTATAAAAGCTATCTTAATAAAAAACTTAATTTTACTTAATATAAGTAAAAAATAAAAATAATTTATATTATATTTAACCATTAATTAAGCAGAAATTTAAAAGTTTAAAGCTATTCCGCTGTTATGGGCTAACCTTAAACTCGCAAAATAAAGGTGCCTAAATAAAGTTAATATTTAGAATGCAAAGGAGAAGATTTACTCTTTATTTATATCCGCGCCAAAGCCTATTCTTATAAGGCTAAAGCCCGCTAATTAATCACTATAAGTACAAGCCTAAACCATAATATATCCCCTTTTCCTAAGTTAAAGCTGCAAAGGGGCCTTTTTAAAGGGTTAATTATATAATAAAAAATAAAAGAGGTATTGCTTTAATTATAAATTAAATATTGCCTTTTACCTAGCCATTTAATTAATCCATAGCGCTTTAATTGCACTATTAAGCCGGCCCATATTATATATATATATATTTTCATCCTTTCTATACCTTATAATTTAATATGCTAGCTAAAGTAAGCTAATAAAAAATGATTATTTAAGTATAAGCTAATAGCTAAGCTAGCAATATTCTTAAGATCCTTTAATTTATGCCTTTTATATAAGCTCCCTTATTTAAAGCCTTAGGGTTATAAACTTATTATATAACTTGCAATTAATTAGCGTTTAATTATAAATAATTTACTTTATTAATAGAAAGTTTTTAAGCTTTAAAAGTTTTATAACGCTAAATTAATTAATATTAGCTAGCTTACTTTAAGCCTAGGCTAATATTAAGTTAATATTACTTTAAGTTCTACCCTATAAAAAAAAAATTTATATATTAAAAATAACCTTAATTAAGCG